AAAAATATATATGTTCATGACCATTCAAAAATTTATCAGTTACACTATTTTCTAATATTTTTAAGAAATTATCATATAATTTGATAAATATTATGAAAATACATGTATATTTAAGCGATAAATAAAAATAATTTTATTTAAATTAACTAAAATAAAGAGTAAATAAATATTATGAAAATACATGTATATTTAAGCGATAGATAAAAATAATTTGATTTGACTTAACTCAAATAAAAAGTAATTATACTTCAGTTTTAATTTAAAAATATATTTAACTCAATATGCTCACAAAATGAATGACTGGACTAATCTAATTTATATCCAAAATTAAACATCTAACTACAATAAGAACATAAAATTTTAAATAATAATAATAATAATCTATTTAATTTTATACATATAAATTAGAGGTTGACTCAAAGCATATTAAAGAAAAATAAAATATTAACCAATTACAATTTAATTATTTTGTAGAATTTATATATATATATATGCATGAGACTTCAAAATATTATCATTATATTCCTTTATGTAATTTTGAATCAAACACTTCAGTTTATTATTTATTTCATTTTAAGCACAATATATATTAAGTTATACATAATTTAACTATAATATATTTATATATCTAAGACAATAACCAACCGAAATGAAAATAAGAAAATTAATCAAAGTTTTATTATATTTATAATAAAAAATAGTATACCTGAATTCGAAAAATAGATATTATCCCATATACCAAATTGATAACCAAACCGACTATTGATCCAAAAAATAACTAAACCAACAATGATATATCTAAAGTCATATGTATAATTAGAATAATATAATATTTATTAATATAAATTGATACATCTAAATTTATTCAAAACTAAAACTAAATAGCAATTAATTATTATAAAACTTTACTTTTATGAATATTCATACCCGTACATGAGCACGGGAAAATCAACTAGTTATTAGATATATGGTTGTTCTGCAGATTGTAGAATATGCTAAGAAGAAAGCCTGGTTAGTTTTTCTGCTCCAGTGTACCTTTTGATATCAGTCTTTATATGATTTTGTCTGCTGTAATCATATGTAGATGCTATCATCGGTCTACCAAACGGTCCTACTGCTCATTTCAAATTGTGAAATCTCCTTTTAAGAAAGGATAAGGTATGTAAACACATTTCGTCTTCTCTTTGTGGATTAGTGATTATTGAATTAAAAGTCAATAAAATTTCATTGCAGTATCATGGTAATCCTACAAGCCATGAACCGGAGCTGGTTTTAAATAACTTTACTACGTGTTTAGGAAACCGTGTTGGGAGGTAAACTATAGAGTTTTTGAATGATCTTTTACTGTCTTTGATCTTTTGGCTAAAGTTATGTTTCTGCTTTCTCTTAGATTTTTTCAGTCACTCTTTCCTCAAGAACCTAACTTCCGTGGTAGGAGAGTAATAAACATTCCACAACCAGCGTGGCTTTATAATCTTCAGACATCATCGGTATACAATTCCACCTTTTTATTCTAGTGTTTCTCCCCCTTGATGACTTATGTTGAATGTAAATTGTAATGCTTTGCTCAGTTACGTATTCAAGATAAAGGAAAGCAAACAAAGTGGTACTAAAGGAAAAGATGGTGTTTCTCAAGAGAGAGTAAAAGCTCGTCTTCAGGTTAGCATATTAAAGATTCGCATCTCTTTTGTGTGCTGGATATATCAGTTTATATATGTTGGAATATATGTGCAGCAATGTGGTCCTAGTTTCACGCTTAAGCTAGTTACTTTGCAGCATGGAACCTTTGACACAAAAGGGGGAGAATTTGATAGGCTCATAAGGTGAAAAATTCACCACAAAGATTATATTATCATTAGGTATGGAACCGTGCGTTGCACGGATTTCAATTGATGTTTTAATTTCATGAAAAACATAAAAATGAGAAAAAAATTTTACAATCGTTGAATTTTTGCATATATTGCATGAAATAAAAATTGTTTTCCATATAAGTTTTGGTTAGTATTTATGTTTCAGTAATATTTTTTTCGTCGACAATCATAGTGCATAAACAGTTATTAGCATTTTTGAATTTAGGAGTAGAGAAAAAATCAAAACCAAAAAATTTAAATTGAATCTAACCGTGGAAAAATATGAATTAGAATAAAATACAAGAATCAAGACAATCGAATTGGTGATAATATATCCAATTTATAGAATTTCTCCACATTAAAAGAAAATGTAGTGAATAAAAGTACATCTCTATATTTAGAGATAAAATAGCCTTACTCTGTATTTCTATAAAAATAAAAATCTCTATTACAAAATCACACAATTAAGCAAATCTACATTTATAATACAATTTCACTATTTCAAAAAAAAAAATATACTAATGAATCTATAGGTGAATTGGAAATTATCTTATTTGTTTAACTAAGGGAAAATATTGGATCAATATTTTTATCATGTAATCTATTGGATCAATATAATCTATTGGATCAATATGTAATCTATTTTTATCTATAGGTAATGAAACTATTAATATATTATGCATTTCAATACTACTTTAATTCTTGTAGCCACAAACATGTATGTTCTAAAGACCATGTTTTTGAATCCTTATTTTCTAAATAACTATTTATGAACAGAACTTACTAATTAAAGTTTTATTGCGATCAAAGCTATAATAATTAAATAATAAATAATAAATGTATGTTGTAGTAGAGCTGAAATCACAATCACTAAAAAGTTATTGTAACTTCATTTTTAATATAAGAATTTTAGTATAGATATATATTGGATCTCATTTTCTTTACAATCTTTCACTCTAGATTCATATTTATAGTAATAACATTTTCAAGAAAAAGAAATATGTATCTAACCTAAATTATAATTTTTTTCATAAAAAAATTAGGTACATAATTATAAGTATATATATATATAATATTTTTAAAAATGGAAAAGGATAAAAATAAATTGCTACTCGTTATCTATTATTTTCATAATAATTTGCTTCTCACTTTTTGGTAACAATAAAGACATTCTTTTTATTAAACTGGTTCAGTTTAAATTTTTTTTTGAATTCATTGTTTCTTGATGCTATATTTCCATTATAACAACTTAAAATAAAAATGAAGTATAAGAAAATATTGCATAGTTAAATTTAAAAAAATTAATAAAATAATGTAAGAAATTGGATTTTTTACCAAATACATATAGAAATAAGTTAGAGAGACAATAATAATAATAATAATAATAATAATAATAATAATAATAATAAAAATAATAAGAATAATAATAATAATAATAATAATAATAATAAAATTTTAATGACCATACACCTCAAAAAATATTAGAGAAGTGTTTGATTTTCATATGACCAAACATATATAAAACCCAAACATGAAAACAACCTAATTTTCTAATGATTAATCATGAAGAATATGACAACAATAAAAAACGCTAGCAAACAATTATAATACGAAGAATTGGAAGAGCAATTTTTTTAAGCTATATTAAGGGAATAAAAAGATAGACATTTACTGATATTAAAATAATAAAAATAAAGAAAATACAACATGCATATATTATAAATTTTAAAGTTTTCGGCTATTATTCTAATTTTTTTGTTTATTTTCCTAAAATTTTTGCTTATTAATATTTTCATGTTTATAAGGAAAATCACTATTAGATATTTCTAAGAAAAATCAAATATGTAGTTATTTAAAGGAAATTATTTATCTTAAACCAATGCCTACTGACTTTGTAATTATTTTCAACCCATATATTTTATTTTAACTTGAAAATAAGGTTTGTTAAAAAAGACTATTACCATTAAAATAAACTTATAGATTTGTAATTATAATTAAACCAATTTTTATTTAACATTGAAAACAAGATTCTGGGCAAAAGAATATTAGAATTAAAATAATATTATAAGAAGTCTTTTACAATTATAGATGTTTAGTATTTTTTTAAACAGAAAATATAATATGAAAAAATTTTAAGAAAGATATTTTCTTATATTTTAATTTGTATGAAAATCTTATTAATTAAGTTTTAGTATTCATTATTTTAAACGCAAGTTTAAAAATACTATTATTAAATAATTATTTATATGCAAATATAATTTTACAGTTTTATTAAAGACTTTAAAAAAAAAAGAAAACAATTTTTTTTTCAATTTTCTAAATTTAATATATTTTTAACAGGAAAATACTATTAAATACTTTTAAGAGAAATATTTGGTAAACGTTTTACAAATGTGATCAATTTTTTTTTTTTTTTGAAACACACAAATGTGATCAAATTATATTCAAATAATGTTTAGTATTTTAGAATTATCTTAAAACCACATAGTAAAAAGATTTATTATTAAATAATAGTTTTTATATGAAAATATAATGTTTTACATTTTGTTTCTTAATATGTTTTTTTTAAAAGGGAAATTAACTTTTAATTTATTTTAGTCAAAAATTTTCTTTAAAAAGACTGTTATTTAATAAATTGTATAGTCTTAAATATATATATATATATATGTCATGTGTTGTGATCGTGTTAAGTAACAAATTTTTTGTTAATAAGAAAGTTTTTTGTTTAATTTTTTTTTTTCAAAAGTAAAACTAACTTTAAATTCTTTTAGTTAAAGTTTTTTTAAAATATTATTTAACACATGTCATAATCATAAATATATAATCGTTATATGTCCCCGATTTAATTAAAAACTTGGAAAACCAAGCATTATATAATGACATGTTTCCAAAAATATAATACAAATATCTTTTGTTTAGGATTTACAAAAGGAAAATATTATTATAAAAAACAAAATTTCTTATGGTTTCTTTTTATAATTTTAGAAAAGGAAAATTGCTATACACAACTTTTTACAATTATATTTTGATTAGGATTTAAAAATAAATTATTAGTATATAATTATTTCAGTAAATATCAAATAGTTTTTTAAAAGTGCAATTTTTCCAATTCGTTTTTAATATCTCTACATATTTTACAATTTGTTTTTGTTAGTAAAACTGGCTTTAGTATTATGTTTATAATCAACTTCTTAAAAATAAAAAATATTAATTAATTAAATTATATAATTATCTTTTGTCAGGATTTATATAATAAAAAATTTCTTTTGGTTTTAAAAAGGGAGATTAACTTTTATATTATTATTATATTCTTTTGATATATGTCTTTTTTAGATGAAAAAATATTATTTAATACATGTAATGATCTTAAATAAATAATTGTAATGTGTCAGGATCATGCTAATTAGAACCTTTATAAAACTAAGTTTTTAATTACATTTAACCCATGTTTTAAAAAAATTATACTATTGTTAAAATTTTATTTATATGAGGTACTATTAAATATTTATAAGAAAATACTATTAAATATTTAATATTAATAGGAAAAATACTATTAAATATTTATAAGAAAAATACTATTAAATATTCTCTTAATAGGAAAAATACTATTAAATATTTATAAGAAAAATATTTTGTAGATAGTTTAATTCGTATAGAAATTTATCTTAAAATAATGTTTAGTGTGAATTATCTTAGTCCATGTTTTAAAAAATAAATGCTATTGTTAAAATTTTATTTCTATGGAAAAATATAAAAAGTTCTCTGTTTATGAATTTTTAAAAAAGGAATTTTTTTATTTAACACATATCATGATCTTAAATATATAATTGCCATGTATCGCAATCATATTAATTAGCAACTTTGAAAAATCAAGCTAGTAATTATCTGAAATCCATGTTTTAAAAAATAAATACCATTGTTAAAATTTTATTTATATTGAAATATTAAAAACGGTTTTGTATAAGAATTTAAAAAAGGAAAGTTAACTTTTTAAATTGTTTTTATATTCTTTTTCTTTAAGTTTGTAAAAAAAACAAAACATGTTGTTTAACACATGTTAATTATTTCAGTAAATATCAAATAGTTTTTTAAAAGTGGAATTTTTCCAATTCGTTTTTAATATCTCTTCATATTTTAGAATTTGTTTTTGTTAGTAAAACTGGCTTTAGTATTATGTTTATAATCAACTTCTTAAAATAAAAATTAATTAATTAAATTATATAATTATATTTTGTCAGGATTTATATAATAAAAAATTTCTTTTGGTTTTAAAAAGGGAGATTAACTTTTAGATTATTTTTATATTCTTTTGGTTTATGTCTTTTTAAATGAAAAAAATAATATTATTTAATACATGCCATGATCTTAAATAAATAATTGTAATGTGTCAGGATCATGCTAATTAGAAACTTTATAAAACTAAGTTTTTAATTACATTTATCCCATGTTTAAAAAAATAAATACTATTGTTAAATTTTATTTATATGAAAATATTAAAAAGATAGAAGTTTCTATATCCAACACTTCTACCTTCTTTATATGTATTCACGTTTGACTATATTCATCCAAAAATATTACAGTTCTCTTTGGTTTAATATTTTTAATAGGATAAATACTATTAAATATTTATAAGTAATAATATTTTTTAAATATTTTAATTTGTATAGAAATTTATCTTAAAATAATGTTTTGTGTGAATTATCTTAGACCATGTTTAAAAAAATAAATGCTATTGTTAAAATTTTATTTCTATGGAAATATAAAAAAAGTTCTCTGTTTAAGAATTTTTAAGAAAGGATTTTTTATTTATTTAACACATATCATGATCCTAAATATATAATTGCCATGTATCACAGTCATATTAATTAGCAACTTTGAAAAATCAAGCTAGTAATTATCTGAAACCCATGTTTTAAGAAATAAATACCATTGTTAAAATTTTATTTATATAGAAATATTAAAAACGTTTGTTGTATAAGAATTTAAAAAAGCAAAGTTAACTTTTTAAATTGTTTTTATATTCTTTTGCTTTAAGTTTGTAAAAAAACAAAACATGTTGTTTAACACATGTCATAGTTTTAAATATATAATTTCCATGTTTCATAGTCATCTTAATTAGTAACTTAAAAAAATACTATTATTAAATATTATTTATATGGAAATATAATTTCTACATTTTTTTTAAGATGGTTTAAAAAAGGAAATTAACTTTTTTAAAGTTTATGTTTAAGATTTTTTAAAAAGTAAAACTAACTATTAAACTCTTTTGGTTTAAGTTTTTTTTTTTAAAAAAAATTGTTATTTAACACATGTCATAATCTTAAATATATATAACCGCCATGTGTTGCGATCATGTTAATTAGTAACTTTGAAAATCAAGCTTTATATAATAAGATTAGCTTTATATGTTGTTCCTTTGAGAGTTTTGCTAATTTTTTTTTTTTTCTTTTTCATTACAGCATGAAATGGATACAAGCAGGAGGAGGTTCTTCTTATGAATGTTGCAAAGCATATGTTAATTGACTAATACTGTGTGACATACTTTTTTTTTCCTATAACAAATCTTTAAGTTGATACTCAAGTTCAAGCATAGTGTTTCCCCTTTACAGTTTTTTTTTTGTAATAAAAAATAATCTTGATGAATTACAACAATCTAACAACGCATATTAGATGGGAACGAGAAGGTTGTTTGTGTAGTTTTGTTGCCTGCACTACAGAGGACGGAGGAAATGGAATAGGCTTTAGTTCAATACCCACCTTGCAACACTTTTGCTATCTCTAAGAACCCATCTCATTCCCCACTGCTCTGAGTATTCAGACCAAGATGCGTCTACATTGTACTTGAGTAACCTGAAGACTGTGGACTCCATCTGCATATATCCGTTGTATGCAAATGTGGTCTTCACAATGTCTCCTCTTTGTTCCCAAACGGTTCCTTACCAGGCTTTCACCACGACCTGAACAGCTGCTTAATGCCTTGTTCGAAATCATGCAGATCATTTATATCATTCCACATTCTTCATCCGTTTGACCAACTCTTTTTCCTCATCTTTTCTCATGAATACTAAGCCATGTTTTGTATATAGAGAAAATATGAGTGCCAGTGGAGATAAGGTCTAGACCAACCTCACAAACGGATATGAAAAAGCATACTGTTGAATGTAAGCATTCGGGTTGGGTTTGAATTGGATTTTATCGGGTCCAGTCTTTCACTTTTTATATGTTTCAATAATTTTAGATAACTACATCATCTCTAACTTTCACTAGGCGCAGATATTGGTTTTATGTTACTATATAACTAAATGTGTTATTATATAATTAATTGTGTTCAAAAGATTCGACCGAACTGAGTAATATAGTTACTTTGGTACAAATATCTATCCATTGGTTATTTAGATTTTGTTTTTGGACAACACGTTATTTGGATATTTTAGATTCATATTACATCAGAACCGAATTCATGCGAAAAAGAACCAACTCAAAACACACCCAAAATTTTTATAATACTTGAATGGGCTTAATTTCAAAACTTAAAAAACCATTACTCAAAAACAACAACGCGTATCTGAATGGTACCCAAATGCTCATGCCTAACTAATTATGTAAACAAATAAACAAACTATTTGTTAACCGTTTTGAAATCTTATTACAAATGAAAAAAAATCCATTTGAATTTTTTGAATTATTATAGGTAACATATAAAATGAATTATGTCAAATTATGATAATATATGAAATAGTTAGAAGAGTGAAAAAGAAATGTAATAAAATGTAATAAAACATTTTCAAATAGGTAAGTTCTGTTTTTCAATTTTGTAATAAAAGCTGTGTAATTATTTGGATAAGATAATAGAAGAAGTGTTTCGAATGTATAGGACAATAAAATGAAAGTTGTAAGAAAACGCTTAAATTTAAGAAGTATTATTTTTTCTTCTGTTTTAATAATATAATAGATTTATCAAAATTTTCACCATGAACTAAGAGTGTCTCCCCTTTTTTAGGGTTACTGCATCATTTTCATCTTTATTTACACGATATAAAATCAAATTAAAATCTGAATTCCGTATTTCTTACGATAAAAAATGGTCATTTTATTATTTAAACTTGAGGTGTTGAATTTAAAATTTGTGTTACTCAAACAAGAATTGTTATAGTTATCAATCCTGTCTAGTCCGAAGTTTAGGGTACATGTTGGGATCTAATCTAGGCTCCACACAAGCTAAGAGAGGCTTAGCCATAAACAAATTTTCTTTCGACTCGATTAGCTCGACTTTGCCAGTCGACTTTGGAGGAATGGTCCAGTTGAACCCTTGGAGAAGCCTTCCCAGCAATGTAACAATCATATAGGTCCCAAGCTTAGTCCCAACGCAGCCACGCCTGCCGGTTCCAAATGAAACAAGTCGCATGTCTGCCTCAGTCAACATCACTTCATCACCGGTTAGGTGACGCTCAGGCTTGTAGATGAGTGGCTCGTCCCATGTTTTAGGGTTTCGACCAATACCAGGACGACTCACTAGAATATGACTGCCTTCACATTAAAAATCAAGCAATGTAATTGAGTAAAGGAAAAAATTGAAATGATAACAAAAAATCTTTAAACCAAGGCAACAAATATTTTCTAAATTGAGTAAATTTATGGAGTTGAAGGCAAAGAGAGGAACTTATGCAGCGAGACAAATAGCACAAATTAAACAAATACAATTATACTTTGTTTTCAAACAAAAACGTTATTTTTGAGGTGAATATGTTCAATAACAGAAAATGTTATTAAAAGTTATCATGTTCTTTTAAGCAAAAATAATAAGGAGATATAAGTTGTATATAACAAATTTGTTCTTTAATTCTTCAAGTTCGAACAGAAAAGTTAAAGGGTAATTTACTGGATTTTTGTTAAAAAAATAAGATAAAAATGATAGCTTTTGAAAAACATTTTTAATGGATAGAACATCCAATTTTCCTATTTATATTTACAAATAAAGAATATATATGTATATATACCTTTTGGGACGAAATAGCCAGCGAGAGTTGTATCTTGACGAGCCATATGAGGGACGAGGAAAGGGTTGGTTGGGTGAAGTCTGAGAGTTTCTCTGATACAAGCTTTGACGTAATTTAGATTCTTTACGTCCGACTCTTGAACAAGCCTGTCTTTCCCCACAACCCTATCGATCTCTTCCACTGCTTGTTCAAGAATCTCTCTATGGTTCAACATTTCTGCTAATGTCCACTCTATTGCATTCACTGCATTATCAATGCCTACTACATCAAGATCCTGCCAACAAAGAAAAAAAAATTAAACCATAACTTATCAGACAATATATACAATTAATTAGCAATAATGAGTAGATTTTAACACGAACAATGGAGAGATGTGTGATTTCTTGTGGCGTAAGCAGCGGCTTCCCCTTGTCATCTTTGAGAGTGAAGAGGATATCTAACCAATCCTTGGGCATGTCGTAGTCTACATTTTTGGTCTTTCTCCACAACTCTATCTTCTCATCAATAATCATTTTGTTGTACTTAGCGATAACATCGACGACGTCTCTTAACACAACCTCCTCTCCTTGAAGATTCCATCCTCTAAAGAAAGAGTAGTAATCAGCTATGTAAAAGCTAAAGAAACAATCAAGAGCCTTAAAAATGGCGTCAAAATGTTCTTTCTCCATCGGACCGAGGCTCCCATCCTTTGTCGTTTCCTTGAAATGCTTTCGACCAAACAATAGTCTCATCTTCACATTGTGAGTGTGAGTGCATACAACATCCCTTACGTTCACTAACCCACCTTTCTTGTAATATATGTTAAGGACATATGCGAGGAGATTGTCGGATTCCAAGTTTCTAACGTCACGTAATAAGTCTAAAGCCTTTGTGGACATTAACTCGGACATCATCACTTTCTTCATCTTCATTTGTCTCTCGCCGTATTCATCAAACACCACCCCCTTGTACCTAATGTTTAGGAAACAGTTAATCAGAGATGTGTGTTATCGTATACCATATAGGCATTTCATATTACAAATCTATTATATTAAAAGAGAAGTCATGACTTCTCATTTATGTGTGATTTTCTATAAAATGAACTATCTACTAGAGTTGATCACATTATATATTTAATCATTAATAACATTTATTAGATTCACTAATAACATTTATTGGGCTTACTATAAATTTTTATTGGGCTAATAAAAATTAGATAATCCATTGAATTTATAGATAGTATAATAAAATACATGTTTAAATTAAACTTATATAATTTAATATTGTAATAGTACAAGTTAATTAGTTATATATTTTCGATGTTAACTTTAAAAATTGTATAGTTTATTTTTAAAAATGACAAAAATATCATTTTCTAACAATAATTAATCTATATTATATAATAATTTAATCATCATTTTCGATATACACACCTTATATAATATATCATTTTTAATGTATACACCTTATATAATATATATCAATTAGAAGTAAAAAAAATGTTTATATAAAAATAAATGAAAATAAATATCCGCGCGGTTGCGCGGGTTGAGATCTAGTTGTAACTTACATATTACAAATTGTAATTTACAATTCCCCTTTCACAAAAATAAATGTTTTGAAAAGTTGTTGCTTAAAATCGCTTTTTGTGTTTTTTATAAATATATATTATTTAATAATAATAAATATTAATTTTTAAAAATTAATTAAGTTTATTGAATTAATATTAGGTTAACGTTATTTAAAATATATAATCACATAGAACTATTCATGTATTATATATATTTAGTGTGTTTTTAAAATGCGTGAACAAAGGAAAAAACATTCATTTTTATAGAAATATAACTTAAGGATCAAATACTTCTATTATGAAATATAGTTTTACCCGCAACTTATGTATTCGGCGGAGTAAGAGTCCGGCCTGTCGGCAAAAACCGTATCTTTCTCCCTAAGGACTTCACGGGCAATCTCATCAGATGTTATAGCAATGACATGGACACGACCGAAGCGGAAGCAAGCTATATCCGTCTTCATATTGTTCATCACACGAACTATCCACTTGGAAGTTGGTTTGTTCATGAGCATTCCCACCAAATTCCCGATCATTGGAATTCCCGGCGGGCATGGAGGCAGCTGCTTTCCACCACCACCACGAAGAAGTTTTAAGCACCATCTTTTCAGAAACAGAAAACTCAGACTGATACAAAATGTGATATAAATCGAGGTGAAAACATTGTATTCCATCACGTATTCTCCCAAGTCTCGGTAAGAATTTTGGGATAGTTTTTTTGGACTAAAGTTTTGTTTTTTTTTTTGATTCTATTTTTGTTGTAACACCTAGTAGGTGTTATATATTCACATATGGATTTGAATCTAAGACATAAGAAGTTGTGGGTATCTATTCTTTAGGAAATTACTGATATTTCGGTATCTTATAATTAATACGAATATAATTATACTTTACGTTTAGGAAGTTAGTTATATACTTGTATTCGACTATTAAATAAAATTTAATTTAGATATATACCTTCTTATTCTTTAGAAAAAATCTTCAGTATATGTTTTTTTAAACATAAAATCTCGGTTACAATTAAAAATTTTGATTGGTTATTAATTATGAAGACAAATTTCAATTTTTAACAAATAATGCTTATGTTTACTTCAAAATATTATAAATAAGAATAAAAATAAATCTACTTGGAAACAAAAAATATTTAAAATACTAAAAGTTAATTAATATTTATAATATTTGGTTATGTTATTACAAATTATGCTTGATGTTGTCACAGTTAAAATTTTGTGGGTTATTCTATGAGGCATACAAAATAATTATCAAATAAAAAATAAATTGAAAAAATATTTGATCATTTTTTTTATAACATATTAACATAAACGTTAATCAACATTAAACAAATAAAAAAGATTATATATACTTAATTCAGTTTTAAATCTTTTAAAATAAATGTAACCAGATATACTATTTTGATTTTCATATAAAATAAATATTGGATTTCATATCAGCTACCCATCAGTTTAAACAGTTAGTTTCAGATTTTAGCGATTTTTGTGGATTTTATCGGATCACCGGGTTTACCAGTTCGACTACGGGCTAAAATAACATCACAACTTCTTGTAGGTATGATTTTTTAAGTTGGATCTCACATTATAAATGTAATATTATATGTCTAATTAATCTAATTACGATATTATATGTTATTTCGTGGATATCTATTATTTAGAAAGTTACTGATATTTTGGTATCTTATAATTAATAAGAAGATAATTATATCAGCATTCAACTATTAAGTAACATTTAGTTTAGATATATACCTTTTTATTCTTCAGGAAAATATCCAGTATATGTTTTTTTGTAAATATAAAATCTCGGGTACAATTAAAACTTTTGATTTGTTATTAAATATAAAGAACAAATTCAGTTTTTAACAAAAGAATGCTGATGCTTACTTCACAAAAATTATAAATAAGAATCAAATTAATTTTACCTGGAAACAAAAAAAATATTTATTTAAAATTAAAGTACTAAAAGTTAATTAATATTTATAATATTTGGTTATATTATTATAAATTATGCTTGATGTTGTTACAGTTAAAATTTTTGTGGGTTATTCTATGAGACGTACAAAATAAATATCAAATAAAAAATAAATTGAAAAAGTATTTGATCATTTTTATTATAAAATATTAACATAAACATTAATCAACATGAAAAAATTAAAAATATTATATATACCTAATTTCAGTTTACAACTTTTAAAATAAACATAACAAGTTATACTATTTGATTTTCATATGAACATAATTATTATAATATTGGATTTCATATCAGCTACCCATCGGCTTAAACAGTTAGTTTCAGATTTTCTCGATTTTGTGGATTTTATCGGACTTTTAAATAATAAATTCATTAAAATCAAAACCGAGATATATCGAATCACCGGGTTTACCAGTTCGACCACGAGTTGAAAACAAGATTAAAAACGATGATTTGAATGTAAAATGTTTTAAATAGTCAATTTTTTTACATATTAATAAAACATTTGTAACATTCTTAAGTGCGGGTCAAAATCATTGAAATTTAATAAAAATTAAATTATTTATATTATATAAATATTATATACAATGTAATTATATTTTAAATATTTTTAAAATGTATAGTGGATCCGGATCTAGATATTCAAACCTAACTTTCACTATCCGGATCCGTAAAATCACTATATGATCCGGACCCCCGGATATCTGTTTATTCGGAGCGGAGCGGAACATACCCAGACCGGATAACAGATAACGGATATCGGATATTATGTCTCAGATCTAATCAGAAGTAACTAAACTTTCAACTAATCATCAAAACGCAAACAGTTAAGTTTAACTTTAATTTTGCATTTGGAACAAACGTACATAATTAGTGTTTTCACTTCACGGTTATATCTACGTAATATACTTCTGAACACTATTAATACAAAAAGATAGTTTTGATATTTTTCTTTAAATATAGAATAGAATTGGACAAACTCAAAACTATATAAAACTAAATTATATAGAATACATCCAAAAAAATAAAACCGGCGCAAGTGCGCGGGTAATGATCTAGTAGAGTTTAAATCTAAGGACAATTTACTTATTCAATAGTTTTTTTTTTGCTAAAAACCCGTTATTCATTAATTGATCATAAATTAGTGTTACTAAATCTTGTATTTATAATATATCAATCAATATTATTTAAACAAGATCACTCTTATTTTTTTGCCTCTACAGTTACTTGGAATATTATTTAAAATGCCCTTGGACCATTTATAAATATAAAATTGCCGTAGTTTACTACTTACTATTAACTAGGATATGACCTGCGCCTTGCGCAAAGTGAATATATGTAATTAAAATATAAAAATTTAGTATTGACAAATTTAAAATTTACATATGATTGTTTTTATATGTATTTGAAATTTTAGAATTGTGGAATTTTTATATAATTATCTATACGTAGGACCAGAGACAATTGTAATTAGAAATGTAGATCAAATCTTAGAATTTAATGGACCCGACTTCATATATCTTTTCACTTTTCAGTGTTCGAGTAATGGAAAATAAACGGAGTATCACTAGGCTTGATTGATAGAGTATTAACAAATTCTCTAATGCTTTCTTAAGAAGCAATTGGTAAAATATTTGCATTTAAAATATATAAGTTTCAAAACTAGTTTAATAAAATTTATTTATTTGTCTAATAATAATAGAAAATTATATTTTTACAATTTTTAAAAAATAATTTTATAAAAAAATTAAGCTAAATTTTAAATTATTTTTAAAAACAATATTTTAAGTTTTCAAATACAAATAAACAATTTAAAATTAGTTATGGTCATAATTTAACATAACCATAATGATTTAAAAAAAAATAAAAATTTAAAAATTTAAAAATTAACAAATTAAACATTAACTCAGTTTTATATCATGATTTAACAATTTAAAAACTAATTATGGTTGAGAGAAGTTTACGTTCACGTGTCAATCCTATTTATCTTCAATTTTTTCTCCTGTTATGTTTTTTATTTATTTTGGTTATTAATTGATATAAATATTTATTTTTCAGTTTATTCTCATTTCGTTTGTTTGATTTGACCTGAGATTTAGAAAATACTTAAGATTTAAAATAATTGAAGAGATACATACTTAGGTTAAAATCTGCACTTTATGCACAATAAATATTTTATATTTATTTTCTATTTTTCTGCATATTATAAAATTATAAAAAAATAAATATACATATTAAATAACTAAGAAATCAGTTACTATTATGTAATAAATTGGCGTATGCATATAAATTTAACTATTACTCTTGTTTATTCGCAATTAGGGTAAATAAATCAAAATAATCAATCTTATATATTGTATATGATATATAATTAAATTTAAATGATATAAATATATTAATATAGCACACTTTTAATATGGATATTTATTAAATGAGGTTTCTACTCATATGATTTTATGATTATTTTCATATTTGTGTAACAAAACTTTACACCAACGAATTTTTTTTTAATATGAGATGTTTAGTAGTTTCAATAATTTATAATCATTTAAAGAAAAAAATTGACATATTTCAGTATTAAAATATTAACTTTTCAATATATGTCAATGCAAATATCAAAATATAAGTATGTATTTTCATACGATGTATAGTTTAATTAAAACGATATGAAGTATATATAAACTAAAATTATTTCTTCATATGGTCTTATAATCATTAGATTTTAATATAGATAAAAATTAAAACCTTGATCCTAAAATTTTATGTGAGACTTTTAACAGTTTTAGTAATTTATACTCATTTTCAGAAATTCGAAATACAACATACATAAAAAAAAAATTTAGATTTTTATTATATGATTAATGTAATTGTGTAATTTATTTTAATAATAAAGAAATAAACAAAATGAGAAAAATTATACAAATTGTTATCAAATCTTTATTGTTTAAAATCATTAATTTTCATATATATATATATATATATATATATATATTAATCACATTAGGTAATTCCGTAGGTTTTATTTAAGAAAAACATTCGAATCAATAAATATTTGATATATGCGACCAACTATAGCCTACGAAATATTATATTGCTAGAGAGTATAAATTTTAGACTATACATTATATCACATGCTTTAGAATCCTTGACATTTAAAATAGTAACCAAAGAACTATGCCACATAGGATTGAGGTTATTTTTAATTATTACAAATTTAAGGTTACAACTTTTTAAATGATTCTCAATTAATATATAGGGGATATACAAATTTTGTAACATTTAATTCTTAAATATTTGGTACCCACACCTCTACGGTCAAAGATGCATTCAAGGCAGAATAAATGCTTGTCAGCTAATAACATATTAGGTGATTGTCTGCAAATTTACGGATCTCTTTATTATTAATAGAAAAGTAATTTGAATTTTTTTTTTAAATCCTTATATATTAATTAAGAAACATTTGAAAGTTATTATCTTAAATTTTAAATTATAAATGTCTAAAACAAAATGATTTGTTCATACGAAATGATATATATATATATATATATATATA